TGAGAACATGGTATCGATCCATGACGCTCACCTTTAGGTGATCCCACCAGGTTACCCATGTACCTCCGAGCAACGTTCTTGCTAAGATTAGTAGAATTATACTAGAGATGACATATGGCATGTATAAAGTTTCACATGAGGCAAACATAAACTCTGTGTTCATTTCATTTATATGCAGTTTTGCAATACTCCTTCTGTCCGCCAATAAAGTTCTCACTTTTGTTTTTGGGCAGTCCCTAAATTAAGTTCACACTTCAATACTTTCCTTATTTGACAAATTATCTACATGAAAACAGTGCCAAACAGTGCCAAACAGTGCTTAAACAGTGCAAAACAGTGGACTCCACAGTAAAGTCAAATTCATTTTCTTAATATGTTTAAAGTCAAACCAGGAACTTAATTGGGGGATGAAGGGAGTATTAATTAAGGTTTCTACTTAATTAAGATAGTGTATTCGACCACATTTTAGCCCATTGTATTGGTAATTTGTTCACATTCTTGACCATCTAGAAGTGTTAGTTTGATCACATACTAGAGCAGATGGACATGTGTTGAAATGGACATGTTTTCATGCAACACCTACTCGTGAGCTAATTAACAAGAAATACTATATCGGTCCATGACATTGAGAAGCTAAAGGAAGATATTAATGTGATTATGTGCAAGTTGGAGAATTCATCCCTCGTTCTTTGATGCTAGAAAACACCTTGTTGTGCACTTACTAGGTGAAGCTTTGTTTGCCAGACTGCACAGTATCAATGGATGCATCATTTTGAAAGGTGTGTGATTAATACTTTATATATATTCATGTGACTTTTTACTTGATATCTTATTTTGTACAACTTTTGTAGTTTCTTGGGAACAATATTGAAGACAAAAGTTGGAAATGAAGCTAGGGTTGAAGCATCTGTTAGGGGAGGTTATTTACAAAGTGAAGTGGGAACATTTTCAAGCTATTACTTTTCGGAGGATGTAAGCACAAAAACACATCATATCCCCAAGTTAAATGATGATGGCATGATAACACTAATTTTACTATTTCACTTTTTGCACATAAGAAAAAAACAATTGGTGCAAGCATGAGGTGGTACATAGATCATGGTGAATCCAATAGATTGAATCATCCAGGGAGTAAGTTAGAGTAGTCCAATATTTTTATGCCAACAATATGATAAACATTTAGAGCTAGGGGCTGGGTTGGGATTTGGTGTGTAGAGCTAGGGCAAGGGAGGGGGGTTGTGGTCCGGGGGCGCGGTGGCTGTTGTGCACGACGGAGAATGGGCGGCGGCAATGGCCGGTGGAACGGCGGTGGATGGTGACGGGCAAGGGCGGCGCTGGCAGCTTTGGCTAGGTAGCAGGATGGGCAGAGTGTTGTTGGTGGTGGTAGGGCGGCAAAAAACTTTCCGGCGACCGCTATGACTGGTGGGCAGTCAATATGATCGGAGTCACTGAGCGGTGGTGGCGGCAATCACTAGCCGGTGGGCGGTCAGTCACTATGGTTGGAGTCGGTCACTGTCTGTGGCCGGTGTCAGTCATTGTGGCTGGCGGCGGTCACTGACAAGGGGAGACGACGGTCACTGACGAGGGGAGGCGGAGGTCAGGGCGGCGGCGGTCACTGACGAGGGGAGGCAGCGGTCACTTATCAGGGCGGCAGTAGTCACTGGACAGGATGGCGACAGTCACTAGACGGGATGCCGGCAGTCACTGGACGGGAGCAAGTCACTGAACGGCGGTCACTATGACCAGAGCAAATCACTACGCGGTGGTGCGGCAAGACTGCTGGTGACGCCGGTGGTAACAGTGGCGGTTGCTGTTTATGGCCGGAGAAACTCTTTCCAATTTTTTAGTATTAAAATTCATTATCATTAAAAGATATATCTGGACATCTGGTGCTAAACGGATTGGTGTGCAACCGATTAATGCCCTTCTACCTGGGTGTGCGAATGGTTTAGTGTATAATAGTTGTAGTCATATATTTGGATTTTTGAAACTTAACTCACTTTATTAGAAATCCATTAATTAATAGTAATATATGAATAAAAAGGCCATAGTGACATATTTAATCCTCCATTTTTATGGCAAAATCATAGTGAAAGGACTCACAATGTCAATTCGATAATACTCAGTGACTATAGGGGTGGGTTGGAGAAATCGAAAACCAAAAACCGAATCGAAAAAACCCGAACCGCAACCAAACCAACTGAACTGTAAGAGAATCGAAACCGAACTCAAAAAACAGAATCGAACCGTAGTTGTTTGGTTTCGATTTTGGTTTTCACATCTCAAAATCGAACCGAACCGAATAAACCGAACTTTTTAAAAGTTGTTATTTTATTTATTAATCATCAAGTATAATATTTTGTTAGAAAATTAATGTTTGATACTAGATTTATTATGATTTGCAAGATATTGACATTTAATATTTATTGCTTAATTAAGTGAAACACTTGTACCTTTCAAAAAAAAAGTGAAACACTTGTACATAAACTTATGTCTATTACTATAATACTAATATGTTTTTTTGATCGTCTATAATACTAATATGTTAATATTTTAAGTTGTAATTTACATTTTGCTTGTTGTTGCATGACAATGATACTTTGTTGATATATTACTCTGTAGAGAAATCATCTCATCAGGCCGGTCTGACGGGATGCCCCGTCCGGCCGAGCCCGTTTGGGCACCTTCCCGGTGGAATTTTTTGATGCAATTTTTTGAGCATGTTCCTCATCAAGTCTAGTTTGTCCATACCAAATTTCAGCTCAAAATTCGATCGGGAAGGTCGTCAAATGATTTTTGCAAGTTAACTGGTCCGGAATATGTATTTTCCGGACCAGTTAACTTGCAAAAATCATTTGACGACCTTCCCGATCGAATTTTGAGCTGCAATTTGGTATGGACAAACTAGACTTGATGAGGAACATGCTCAAACAATTTCATCAAAAAATTCCACCGGGAAGGTGCCCAAACAGGCTCGGCCGGACGGGGCAGCCCGTCAGGCCGGCCTGATGAGAAGAGCTCTCTTACTCTGTATATGTTAAGTATGTTTGTTATCACATAATTTTTATATTGAACAAAGTGTATTAATATAAACTATACTTTAAACAACATAGCAGAAAATGTGAAACTTTAGAGCATAAATATATTTGGCTAAAAAAGGTACTCCGTAGATTAAGTTATTTATTGATAAAATTTTAACTTGTGAATACTCTGTATATAACTCACAAATAAACTCATGTGTTTAGTTTATTTAGAAAATGTTTAAATTGGTATACACATACTCTAATTCATTGTTTGGAAGTTCCTTTGTTTCTTCTCTCTCTTTTTTAATTATGTATGTTTTTGTATTGTATTACTATTAAAAATAGTTTGGTGTAGTTTGTTTTTGTTTTTGTTTTCCAATTCTTATTTTTCTAATCAACAAAAATACTTTGGTAAAAACCGAAAAAATCGAAACCGAACCGAACAAACCGTGGTTCCAAATTTTTGAACATATAACCGAATCCAACCGAACTTTTTACTTTGGTTCGGCATTTGGTTTTAGGTGAAAATTGAACTGTTTGAACCGAATCCACCCCTAAGTGACTAAATTTGGAGAACTTTAAAGTTAAACACTGAAAGTGTTTTTCACACAATAATCGGAGGATTAAAAATAGAAAAATTGAAATTCAAGTACCAAAAGTCTCACCGACACAATATTCGCGGGACTTAAAGTGGCAAAAATTCTTTTAGAGAACTCGATAATAAATAGGAAGATGATAGTTTTTAGTTGAATGCATTTTAGTGAATGTTCTTTGGGTGGTAAAGTTTTTGTTTCGTATTTGGAAGTATTTCAAATACTCCCAATACAGTAGAGTTAGACCATTTGGAGTGGTGTGGGAGTCCAAATGTTAAAAATGGACTCCGTCCATATGAAAACAGTATTTTGACTCTTATTTCTCTGTATTCCAGCACCGTCAATAAAATGCACTCTGCACGTTTTTTTACATATCAATTTAGTATAACATTAAGTAAATTATTATAAGTAATGTTTTCATTTTAATTTTTTCTCTGATTAATTATAAAATAAAAAAGACACATTTCGATGTAAAAATAAATAAATTTCATTAATATTTTTTTTACGTTTTTGGATGAAGTGAGTTTAAACACATTGGAGCATTGAAGTGAGTTCAAACACATGGAATAAATTAAAATAACAAAACATGGAATTTGAAATTGAAACATACGTGAAATTCATCAGGTTGTTTATATAGGATTTTCGGACAAAATATTAATTAAAAATAATGGAAAAATAAAATAAATTATTTTAACCGTCGGATTTCAATTTCAGCTGTTGGATCAATTGTTTTCCCGTTTCAAACAGTGTCCAAATCATCACAGCCGTTGGATCGACCAATATTTTTTTAAATAAAAAGGCTTGTGGGTGCTGTGTGACACTATCATGATGTCATCTTGTGCAAATAATTCCTGCGCCCAAGGTCACTTGGCCTCTTTCTCCCTGCGCACAACACATGCGCCGCTCCCACTTCCCCTTTACTTTTCATTTTCCTTTAATTTTAGGGAGTCAACACACCCTTCATATATAGCCTCCTCCATCCCCTTCTCCATTTTTACTCCCCCATATAGCCAACCACTACAAGGAATTAGGAGTCCAAAAATTCCACTTTTAACATTTTGGATTCCTAATCCTACACCACTCCAAAAGGTCTTATGCTATTAGTAGGAATTTTTTTTAGTCCTTCAGTTATAATGGAGAGACTTTTTTTACCAACAATTTATGTGGAAAACCCTTTATATTTTGAGAAAACTTGAGTCAAAATTTGTTTACAACTCATTTCATTTACTCCTACGAGATTTTTAACTCTTGTTTTTTCACTTCTGCATTGTCTTATTCCTAAGGTAGAGAAGTATAACGCATACATATTTCTCTGCTGTAATCATTTACTCATAAGATACAAATAAAATTTTCATTCATCAAGTTATCATAATTCGGATCAAGTCACTATCTTTGGATACATATTTCTCTGCTGTAATCATTTACTCATAAGATACAAATAAAATTTTCATTCATCAAGTTATCATAATTCAGATCAAGTCATGTGATCTTTCGATAGATTAAAAAAATGATATCAACCTTATGACTGAAAACAATATTACTTTCCACACCACTTGATCAGTTGATCTGATCACAAAAAATGTTACATACGAACAAACTGTTCTAAGTTAATTACTAGCTATATATCATAATAAACCCTAACTAACCGTCAGCATATTCAATCATTAAACTTAAGGAGAGAGTGACTTTGATCTGGACAAGGTGGATTTGATGAATTTGATACAATCATCTATGGCTTCAGCTCTGTGATGGTCCGTTCCGATTGAATGCCGTCGTGTAGCTGCAAATGTACATGGACAATTACTTCCAGCCATCATTAGCTGCTGCCTTGATGATCGGCTGCTGTGCTTCGATGAAAATGAAGAAGACGATGATGATGATGATGTTGACGAGTCGAGTGTGCGGCTTTTCACCGGGGAAATAATCCGCAAAGCGTCCGCCATGCTTCCGCTGAAACGCTTGAGATAATATCGAAAAGGATGAGCTAATTCTGGTGATGCTCTCTTAGCTGGCGTCTTTAAGCTGCCAGTTCTGGTGTACATTATCTGTTTCTCGGACACTGCCTCTATTCTCTCTTCTCTTCCTCTCAACATATTTAAGTATCCTATGATCTTTGTATACAGTTTTTTGAATTCTCAAAGCTAAGTGAGAAAGACATACAGTGGAGTGACATATATACAAGTATTGGAGAAGAAGGGAGAGAAAAGGGGAACAACAATGATGGAAAAGGGAGGGACAAAAAGGGCACAGAAATTTTGAACTTTTCTGATGCCAGAAGACCAAACACATTGTCCACCCTACAATGCTTAGAAGTTACAACCATGACCTACAGACCACAGTCCACTTATGGAGGATTGTTCCAGTACCTAATTTAGTACCTGTTTGGTTTTATTTACAGAGTATTCTCTGATTCCTGCTTTGTTTACCTCATTTTGTGCCCAAAACATTTGCCCCACATCATATTGGTTGTGTCTTTTCAATAATTCAGACTTTTACTCATACAGAGATGAATGAGTCTAAGAAATGCTATTCTTGTTACGTTTTAAGGTAGCCAAGAAGTGAAGTGGTGAACACAATAGAGTACAAGGCTGTTTAAAGGGGAACAAATTCCAAGTTAAGTGGCTTTCATGTTGATCTTTTAAGCTCAATGTAATGCTTTTTTCATCACTTTAACTTATATAATGGCTTTAGTGATATCATTATATACGAGGACTACGAGTAGGGTTGAGCAAAACCCGATCCGACCCAATAAACCCGATATGTTTTCCGGATATTATCCGAACCGAAGTGGATATCAGACTCGAAAAACCCGAAACCGAAAATCCGATTTGTATTGAGCCTAGACCGGGTGACGGGTAGGGTTTGTGAAATCCCAACCCGACCCGCCCGAATATCCAAAATATAGGTTAGTGTGTACTTTGAATATTTCAATTAATACTTGTGTTCAATTATTTGTGTAATTATTTGTGCAATTTGTATTAAATTATTTGTGTAAATTGAATGTGTAGTGCACTAATGTGTACAATTTTTGTCAAAGTGGCATTCCAACACTTTAATTATCCAATTATAATGTGTTTTAATATAACCGAAATATCCGAAATATATTACATTATGTAGTGTGTACTTTGAATATGTTAAACTAATACTTGGGTTCAATTATTTGTGTAATTATTTGTGCAATTTGTGTTAAATTATTTGTGTGATTTGGAAGTTTAGTGCACTAGTGTGTACAATTTTTGTCAAAGTGGCATTTAAAAACTTTAATTATACAATTATAAAATTTTTAATATAACCGAAATATCCGAAACCCGACCCGATATCCGATAATATCCGACTTAAAAATGTACTGAAATACCCGATTTGAAATATCAAAGGGTCGGGCCTAGTATTTAAATTAAAAAACCCGAACGGGTTAGGGTTTGCAAACCCGACCCGCCCGAACCGGACCCGTGCACAACCCTAACTATGAGATCTTGTATAATTTTATTGATCATACATTCATAATCAAGAGAATATATAGATCAAAACAAGAATTGAGAGTACATTGTTTAAACGTAATAACAAATCCTAAACTAAATAAAACCATTTACAAGGCAGAATCTCTATCTTAGATAGTGGTTCAACTCTGATTTCAATTAGAGGAACGAAATCTAGTGTCTAATACCTTCATCCTCCTAAGAATGGCACAGAGGATTTGGTACCATTTGTTTTTAGAGAAAGTAGAGTTATGTGATTGATTGAATTGGTAGTCTGAATAAAGTACAAATTAATAATCAGAAACTGCCGGAAACGGAAAATTGTGACAATCAAGGATGAGCAACAAATTGATTTTTTACAGAGAATATTACACGAAATAAGACTAAAACTTTTTGAAAATTCCAAAATAGGACTGCCATGTTTTTATTCCCGAAATATGACTAATTGCTGCCATGTTTTGGCAGTACCAGGCTTCAAACATGACAGTATTTTTCAAATTTGACAGTAATTACTCCTATTTTGGGAATGAAAACATAACAGTCCTATTTTGGAATTTTCAAACTGTTTTAGTCCTATTTCGGGAACTTTCTCTTTTTTGCACTAATGTCATTTATAGAACTAAGAGTCCATTTGGTAACACCGAAATTGGTTAAATTGACTGATTATGCCGAAATTGATTGAGTTCTTGTTGAAGTGGCATAATCTTCTGAATTATGAAAAATTAAGTTTAAAATATATTTAAATAATAAACTACAGAAAAAAGTATATGAAAAAATTAGCTAAAATAATCCTCTATTGTAACTTTATTTTCCAACAATACTCATTTTTTGTCTAAAAACGGAGATCACGAAATAGACTCTAAAGTGACTATATCAATAGGTCAATCGACTCATATTTGGTCTAAAAGGACACCAAGACATTTGTGTTTGTATGTTGTACATCTCTACCCAACCAATCCTTGTTAAAGTAATGTTCTGGGAGCAGAAAGACCAAACATGATTAACCAGGCTAACAATTTTGACAAATTTCACGTGTTGCGGGGAAAGCATGTCTCGGAGATTTTATAAAATATAAGGGGTCGAGTTGTGATTAATTAAAAGTTAAGATGCTAATAGGACATACTCCGTATGATATACGGACTACATCAGGCTCTAGTTGGAATCCGGAATAATGCCCGAACCGATCACATCGGTCATCGGACTATCAATTATCCAGTCCCCGATCGTAGAGGAGTGGATAGGCTTTTGGGTAGTTTGTGGATAACTAATTAACGAGTCCCTATTAACTAATCTTCTATTTCCTCACTCTGAAGCTCTAACCTTTGAGCACCAATGGCGACCTCTTCCGCAGCCGCTTCTTTGTCGTCATCTGTTTTTATCCCAACTCCATTTCGGAAAGATCCATCTAAGCCCAGGTTTGTGAAAATTCCCAAGAGTAAGAATGTGTACAAAACACATCTTAGGACGAATACTCTAATTCTTCAACATTTGGAATGTGTAAATAATAGAACGAAAAATCAATAAAATACGGAGTACTGTATATTTTATTGATAAAATTGAGAAAAAATTATACGGGGTAATAACTACACTTTCTTTTATTTTATTACTACATGATTAAGTGCATGAAATCAAAAGTTCCTTATAAAAAATAATTGATAAGGTTGATAAGTTACAAAGGGTTACAAAACGTGCTCTAAATTATGCATAATTGATGGTATTATTGCTGGTCCACCTCAATTTATTTTTGATACTGTCACTCGGCATGCCCCTAATCCCGAGTATCATTCTTGTCTTAAAATTGACCAAACTGTGCGTTCATGGTTATTTGCTACTTTGTCTCGAAATATTTTGCTTGAAGTGCATACTGTTAGTTCTTCTGCATTAATTTGGGAGCGCTTAGAAACCCGTTTTATGGTTGCGTGTATTGCTCGTTCTATGGAGCTCAAGAGACATTTACCTGCTTTAAAGAACAAGGAGGACCAATCCATGGAGGATTATTTACATGAAATTGTTATTTTGACTGATGCTTTAAATTGCATTTACTCACTGATCACCAATCGGGAGTTTCTTCGGTATACCATCCAAGGTCTTGGTCTTGAATATGAGTCAGTTATCTCCTCTTTATGCTCTTTCCGGATAGTTTTACCTTTGAGACCCTTCATCCCCAACTCATAGCATTGGAACAACGTGCCTTATATCTTCGGTCTCAAAATGTGCATCCGGGACATCAAGCTTTTGCTGCTCAAGATGTTGTTGTTGCTGCCCGTCCTCAAGGCCAAGGGGGTGCTCCTCCCCGCGGCAATGGTGGTCGCGGTTACAGGGGTGGTCGAGCTCGTGGTCACCTTGGACGTGGCAGAGGTTACGGTCAGCAGGGATACGGTTACGGCGGTTAGCAGGGGACTGGCTATGGCAGATAGCAGCATCCGGCACCTCCCGCACATGGCCAGTACCTGTGGCAGCAGCCGGGTCCTCCTCCGATATGTGGTGTGGCTAATGCGGGTTTCCAAGGTATGTCTAATAGTCATTATGGAAGAGTTTTATATGATATAAATGCATTATCTACTTTTGGTACTCACCTTTACTTTGCAGATTTTCCATCTCTTGAGCAAAATTATCAGTTCCCACCACCACCTGTAGTCTGTCAGCTTTGTTTTTCCCCAGGTCATTCTGCCATGTCGTGCTCTCATTTCACAAATTCATCTGCTCCGGCTCTCGCGGCTATCCCTACGGGCGAGGCAAACACGACTGTTTGGTATTCTGATTCAGGTGCCTCAGCTCACATGACCCCACATGAAGGTATCTTAACTAGTACATCAGTTTACTCTGGTCCTTTTTCTGTTCGTGTTGCTAATGGTCATAATCTATCTGTATCTAATGTTGGTAATGTGGGCTTATCTACTAATAGTCGCCCTCTTAATTTAAAATCAGTCTATCATGTTTCGCACCTTCATTATAATTTATTAGCAATTCAACGGTTGTGTGCGGATAATGATTGTTCTATTATTTTTAATATAAAAAAATTTTGTGTTAAGGACAATCACACGGGAGCCACCCTCCTCCAGGCCTCCACTAGAGACTCAGTTTATCCTTTTAGAGCAGTCTATCAGCCACCTTCATCTCTTGCTTTAAAGACTACACTTGTTTCGGGTCCTATTTGACACAATCGTCTTGGTCATTGTGGGGATCGTGTGTTATCTACTCTTAGGAAAAATAATTTAACTTCTAGTACTAGTACTTTTTCCCATAATTGTGTTTCGTGTAAACTGGGCAAGTCCCACCGCCTTCCCTTTGAAGATGTTATTCATAATTTTACTGCACCTTTACAATTGATTCACTCGGATGTTTGGCAATCGCCAGTTTTATCTAATTTAGGTTTTATATATTACATTTCTTTTATTGATGATTTTTCCCGTTTCACTTGGGTTTACCCGATGCATAGGAAATCTGAGGTGTTTAATCATTTTTTCAATTTTCAGAGGCTAGTTGAAAATTTATTTAACTGTAAAATTAAATGTTTTCAAAGTGATGGTGGTGGTGAGTTTGTCAATTCCTCTTTTCAAAATCATTTTCTTAAATGTGGTATCCTTTTTCGAAAATCTTGCCCAGATACACACGCGCAAAATGGTGTGGCTGAACGAAAACATAGGCATTTACTTGT